TCTTAGTCAATGGGGCAGCAGGTTCGGCATCTACTAGAAAAGAGAGAATCCGCTTCAGATAACCACTCCTCTGCTAGGCAGCGTGTCGAATGGCCGAGAGCGGACCTTTTTGGATATATAATCCAAGTCGAGAGTGGAGTTACGGGAACAGCCGTCTGATGGAAAACTACTTTCACGTTCGGTTCAGAGAGCACTTTTTTCGTTGAGAATTCCTCGTTCCCTTTCGTGTAAATTCCCCTGCAACGAATTAAAAACTTTCTGGGCCTTCCTATCTATTTATTCCCTCTCTCGAGCCCCGAAGAAAACCCCCTCCCCTTCGGACTCCACATCTCTTATCATGACCCTCTTAGCATAGGTGGGTTTGGCTTGGAGCAACATATAAATCTCAAGGCCTGTTTAAAGGTTAATTGTAGATTCTATAAGAATGAGATTTAGAATGAGTTTGACCATGAATTATCTCAACATTGGAAGGTGATGAGTCGATTTTATATTATATATTTAACCCTATTCTTAGTATATTTTGGTTAATATTTTGGAAGAATTTTGATACTTTGAATTATATTTCCAATATAGGGTTTTCGACTTCCTCCAGAGCAAAAAATAATCAAATGGACGAATTTTGGAGTAATTCCAGTTGGAGGACGTTCGTGAGTCACTTAGCTTGATCGTGTCAGAATTTCAGACTTTTCCACCAAGCGATGATTTCCTGGCGAATAAATAAAGGAGCAGTGCGCCGTGCTGGAACAGTGATGTTTTGGGCTTCTATTGCGTTTTTGGAGCCCAAGATGACCTCGGATGGGTTCGTGGCCTTCTGGAGAAGTGTTCGGAATATTTGTTTCTTTAAAACGAGCTATTTGGGCCAGATTTGGAGGATATTTGAGACCAAAACGTGGCTGAGCAGATTTGGGCAGATTCTCCTAATCCAATTTGGACTTCATTTCCTAGTCTTATTTTATTTTAACTTAGTTTCCTTGTGGGGATTGGGTAGCTAGGTTTTAGGAGGTATTTAAGCTCCTTTTCACATCAATTTAGGGGGATCTCCTTTTAGAACTTCTTTTCGGCTTTGGGAGAAATTTGCTAGGGTTTTGGATTTTCGCTACTTTCAGGTGTTTTTATTCTTACTCATTCGGATGA